CTGGATTTTCATCAAAAAATCCGTATGGCTGTAGCATGAAGCCAGTGCTCATTGCCGGCTGCACTGGAAAGTCCTCCGGTCTCGGCAAGTGATGAATGCCGAACACGTGCCAGAGCACAAGATCCGTATCCTCGATGCATCGATTCTGAGACACAAATCGAAGGATGCCGTCCTGTCCGTCCGAGAGATTCACGAATTCACCAGCTGGAAAGCGCTCTTCCGGGTCATAGGCTGTCACCCACAAATGACGACGGATAAAGCCGGAGCGCTGTCCAGAGGGTGAGTCCGGGTCAAGGAACGACGTGAGCGTATGTGCCGGTTCTAGTTTGTAGGCGACTGGCATATTAACACGATTCTTTTTGTTCGGATTCAACACTTTCCAATACCGGTGGCTGGCAGGATTCGCACAGCGACATGCCTCCAGCTCAGTTCGTAGCAGCGTCTCGGTGACGTAGTACGCATTCCCGTAGGGATTCGCAGCTGCATCCTCCGCTCGCGTATTACACTCTACAACAGAGTTGCGATCCCCGTCTACGCTGAGGTCCATCCGCACGCAGAAGTAATGCTGGTGAATGTGTCCTTCGACGCCAGGCATAACCTCAGTACCGTAGCGGCTCGGTCTGCCCGGCTCGCAGGCCACAGTGCTGATGACGCCAGTAGCCCGCATTTCGTACTCAATGGCGCCGTCCTGACGAAAATACCAGTATGAGGCGTACTCGTAATTGCAAACCGTTGAAATGCTGGAGATGACGAGGCGTCTACCGCGCCGCGTTTCTGCACGGTCGGTGCGGAAATCCCAGTGCTTCCAGAGCAGGCCGGCATCCTCTTCGTGAATGCAGATGGCGTTTGGTATGGTCAGCGGCTCGCCGTGCATCGTGGCAATGTGGGCGTCCATATAAACCACGCAACCGGTACAATCACAATTCATCCGTAGCGAGTTCGCTAGCTTACCGATCCCGTACTCCCCAATATCAAAAACATTCTTTCGAAAGTGGGGCTCCACTGGCGTGCCGTACGGCACGACCATCTCCACCAGGGAGAGCCTGCGAGCCACTGGGCGTCCAGCAAACCGAATATCATGCAGCGTGATACCCTCGCGTGCATTGAAACCAATCACCAGAGACCATTGATCCCAGGCAATTGTATGATCGTTCAGGACAAAGCTCGGTCCCTGGTCCTGCACAATGCGCAGCGGCTTCAAGGGCTTGCGAATATCAGTTCTCAGATTCGGTTCGTAATTGCATTCCGTTCGCGGTACGGGGATATTCTGCAGATCATAAACTTTGAGCACTTTATTGCCCAGGACATCCACCATCGCGTAAAGTCCTTCAACTGGGTGTGCATAGAGGTTGTCATCGGCATGATTCCGTACCCAGCAGAAAGCCAACGCAAGGTGGTGATCCTTCTCCTCAACGGAACCGAACGCCCCTGCCGACCACGGATCAATACAAACTAGACTCATGTCTTCGATACCGTGTTTCCTGCACGCAGCCTGGAACTCCGGACACGCCCGTACAGCTTCTTCTATAGCAGTGAACTGTTCAAGCTGGAGCATAGGGCGAGCGTTCGGGTAGTACTTTTTGGCGATTACGATCTCTTGCGAGAGCGAAACGATCAGCTTCCACACGCCAATAGAGCTTCTCCGGAAGATGAAGACCTCGGCCTCACGTTCGGTGGGCTTGCCGGCCACCCAGAGCTCTTTGGGTGGCTCGTGGAGCTGAATTCGCTCAAAGAGCGGTTCCTCTGGGAAAGGTGCGCCCTGGCGGCCGATGCTGGCAGCACGTAAAATCTCCGCTGGCGTGAGCGGCGTCAACGGGTGCATAATAGAGGTGTCCTGCCTCTTGTGCAGTACTGCAAAGACAACACGAGCAACCAAGATTACCTCGGTTGCGCTTCAAGGCGCCTCAGCGTCTATCGTACCAAGGACTGCAACGGAAACCGGGAGCAATGAAGGAATAAATTCCGTTGAGCGATCAACTTGCGACATAGATGTACAGAACGTACAGGAGCAATCTGGGTGTCGGACACGTCTCCTTCATCGAGCGGGGAGGCGTCTCGCGCAGTGCACGCATCGCTCTCGGTGAGCGTATACCTGGGAAATCAGGCAGTCAACTGACACGATGCGTATGCCGTTGAAGCGAAACGCGATCCTGATCAGTAGGGTGTTGTTCAACCGGAAAAAGTTGGATTTCAATTCAGGTCGTAGCCAAGAACATTTTTTCACTTCGTATTTGTTTCAACCTTCAAACAAGTCTAGACAAGTGGTTTTTCGCAGTATATGACAGAAGCGTTCAAAGAGCGTTGTTTTTTTAAAAAAACCTAAAAAAGGAAAGCTTTGAGAAAGCAAGTTGACGATCCTGGAGGCCCAGGGTCGCCGGCCGCTAGAGACAAACAAAAAGCAGTGCCGAGTCCAGAAGAAAAGGAAGAGAAGAAGAACCGAAAGCGGGATGCCCTACGTCGGAGGCGGCAAGAAACATGACTGTAGAACGAGATGGAGGTGAAAACCTTTCTTCTTGGACATATCAAGGATCCCTACAAGGAAAAGTTGCGAGAAACTATCGAAAAACGTGTCGACTCGTACTCCTTGAGGATTATGAAGGTTTCTTCATAACTATTCCATTTGGTGAAGGAGATGTGTCGCGACGTAACCTAGATGGAAATGGTGGCATTCCGGACAAGTTTTTCGATAAGACCTTTATTCGTCACTTGATGCTTGGCACAGAGAAAGCGCGGAAGGAAAATGAGCGGGTGTATGCGCTCCACGAAAAACATCCCTTTTACAGCTTCAAGGGTACTCGGTACAAGGGTGACCGGGATGTTTACGACTATGGGGCGATGAAGTACCTCACGAACCTGAAGAACCATTTGACAGAGAACCTCGAACGTTCCATGATACGCGCCGTGATTGCACTCTACCCGGGCCTGTCTCGCCAAGGAAAATGGGCGATTATCATAGGCATCACCAAAGATCGCAAGCATGAAGATGAGATCGAACTCGTCGACAAGAAGACATCACGTAAGAGAAAGAATGAAGCTTCTGTCATCCGTGCGGCCATACAAGTGTACCGTGCAGTCTTGGGGTTGGCAAATCCGACAGACAAGATATCAGAGTTGAAAAAAGATAAGGAATGATACTATCGCCTCATCCTGCGCTATTTTGTGTTTCTGGACCGAGAACTCAAACGCAAGGCAGAGGCGAGGCTGAGTGGGGAAAAAATGAAGAGTGGGAGAGACGGAAGCCTTTCCTAATGGGTAAGCGCTTCGACGTGGTTCCAATGTGCAAGATCAAGTCATATTTGTGACTATTGACTCCGGCGTCCTTCACGCCATCATGAAGGAGATCAGTCCGGATTTCAGTGTCAGCGAGGAGGAGTTCTCCGGTGAAAACCGGGAGACGTACTGGAAGAATATCTTCGGTTTCAAACGCTTGCGAGTGAGCAAGGAAACGTTGTTCACCGGAATGATTGATACCGATGGAGTAGCCTAGTGTGTACACTATCGGCGGTTCAAGAAAGATCGTCCTGGTCCGCCGTCGGCTGTGCCCGTGACGAAGGATAAAGAAAAGAATGAGGCGGATCCTGCGACGCTGGTGGTGGAGGAGAACGAACTTATTTTTGACGCGGCGAAGGATGAAGAAAAGAATGAGGCGGATCCTGCGACGCAGGCGGTGGAGGAGAACGAACTTATTTTTGACGCGGCGAAGGATGAAGAAAAGAATGAGGCGGATCCTGTGACGCAGGAGGTGGAGGAGAACGACCTTATTTTTGACGCGGCGAAGGATGAAGAAAAGAATGAGGCGGATCCTGTGACGCAGGAGGTGGAGGAGAACGACCTTGTCGTTGACGTGGCGAAGAATGAAGGAAATACGGAGGCGGATCTTACAATGCAGAAAGTGCAGGAGAACGACTTTGTCGTTGGTGTGGACCCTGGAAATACGAATATCATAACCATCGCAGCACCCAAGCGCGCGGAAGATGGTACTGACGGCAACTTACGTCAGAAAGACATGCGTCTTTCGAGGTTCTCAAGAGCTAGATATTACCGAGAATCCGGTGTAATGAATGCAAGGAAGAAAACCGAGAAATGGAATTCAGGAATGAAAGATCTCCCGGAACATTTGAGCGGGGTGACGAGCCGAGGAGCCGACTTTGAAGCTTTTCGTAAATTCGTGGAAGTTCGCATGGCGCATTGGGATGTGCTGTGGGAGGAGTATACCATGCCCCGGTGGGCTCGTTTGCGTGTGAAACTGTATTGTGGGAAGCAGCGGGCGTTCGCCAACTTTTTCAATCAGTTGAGCGCCCTCAAGGAGAATGAAAATCAGAAGCTTGTAGTAGCGTATGGGGCAGGCCACTGGAAGACCCAAAAAGGAACTACGCCAGCTCCAACGACAAGAACGTACAAGGAGTGCGCACAACGTTTCGTTGCGATACCTGTAGACGAGTTCCGAACATCCTATACACACCATGAACTGGGATGTACACTTCAGCGAGTCGAGATGAAAAAGTGCCGGCGGATCCCTGAGGAAATCGCCAAGTACGGACCGCTAACAGAAGAGCAAATGGAAAGGAGCGCGAAAGTTCGCGGACTCCTTGCGTAAGTAAGTACAACCAGTGGTGGGAAGGAACGTATGGAATTCGTGAACCGAGACTTTAATGCCGCTATCAATATCCGAAAATGTGCGGTGCTGGAGGAAAGACCTCCAGAGAAGACAAAAGGCAACTTTGTTGGATAGCCTCTAAAAGTCGAACTATATGAGAAAAAGTTGGAAGCAGTAGTGGGTGGCCGGTCGAAAAAGGCGGGGAGGCGCCTGCGCGTCAGTTGGTGACGATTTGTCTCAGGCGCGGTTTTCCCGCCACTACTGTACATGGCCGACGTTGTTCGACTTTCGAAAGGCGTTGATCGCGCGCGAATTTCGCGCTCCACCTCTGTTCTTTGGCGCTCTCGCAGACCTGCGTGTGAAGTAGTTTCTGGATTCTCGACGCAAGTTTCGATCTCATAGTATGAACCACCGTACGCCTCTTTCGGCTCGAGGTGAAGCACGGGCTGCCTATGCAGCGTTTGTACCCGCTACTGGAACAGTGTGGTCAGCGTCGAGACACCGGTCACTTGGCCGGAGCTATTTCACGGCGTCGCGTCCCGGAACGCTCCAACCACACTGCAGCAGTCGCGGAAAGAGACACAACGTAGACTGGCTGCGCAGTGCCATGAGGGTGCAAGCTAATGGAGCGTCGTACCCGGGACGAGGCAACGACCGCCAACTGTCTTCGTTGCCGTTATCCAGCGACAGTTCGGCCCCGCCGTGTCTGATTAAAGTTATCGGCGTCGGTGGTGGTGGCGGCAACGCAGTGAACCGTATGGCAGATACAGGTATTTCGGGTGTGGAGTTCTGGGCGATCAACACTGACGTGCAGGCGCTGAAGCGCTCGGCGGCACACCATACGCTGAGCATCGGGAATAAGCTGACCCGTGGTCTCGGAGCTGGCGGCAATCCCGAAGTGGGTCGCAAAGCCGCCGAGGAATCGTGCGACCAAATTGCAGAAGCCGTCCGTGGCGCCGACCTGGTGTTTGTGACTGCCGGAATGGGCGGCGGCACTGGTTCCGGAGCCGCTCCAGTAGTTGCAGAGGCTGCCCGCGAGCAAGGCTGCCTAACCGTGGGCGTTGTCACCAAGCCATTCGCGTTTGAAGGCCGGAAACGCATGAATCAGGCGCTGGAGGCTATCGAGGCCTTGCGCGAGAGCGTGGACACGCTGATTGTCGTGAGCAACGACAAGCTGCTTCAGATAGTCCCTGAGAACACACCATTGCAGGACGCATTTCGAGTTGCAGATGACATCCTGCGGCAGGGTGTTGTGGGCATCAGCGATATTATCATCCGCCCTGGTCTCATTAACGTAGACTTTGCCGACGTCCGAAGTGTCATGGCACATGCGGGATCGGCCTTAATGGGCATCGGCACCGGCAGTGGCAAGTCCCGGGCCCATGACGCCGCCGTGGCAGCGATTTCCTCACCGCTGCTGGATTTCCCTATCGAGCGTGCCAAAGGTATTGTTTTCAACGTCACCGGTGGAGAAGACATGACCCTGCACGAAATCAACCAGGCCGCTGAGGTAATCTACGAAGCAGTCGACCCCAACGCGAATATCATCTTCGGTGCCCTTATTGATCAGCAAATGGAAAGCGAGATATCCATAACGGTGGTTGCCACAGGCTTCCCTCAGCCTAACGAGAGCGCCAACAGTGGCGGCTCCTCATCTACATTGAATGCTACGGCAAATGAGTTTTACCAGGCTGGTGCGGCACCGTCGTCACCAAAGCTTGGGGGAACGAGCCGCCGCGGCGGCATTGCTGCGGATACCGCCACTCACTTTGGGCGTGATGCGGGCGCTCGGCGCCCAGCTCCGGGCCCTCAAGTGCCGCCTCCCAATCGTCAGGTCACACCTCCGCCACCACAGCCGGGACCGTCGCGCACCATAGGGAACATTCCGGATTTTCTGCGTCGATTCCAAAAGTAAGTTTGGCTCCGTGCTCGCCCAGTGCCGCGAAGCGCATGCCCAAGTGCTCTCCGCCAGCTGGACGGATCTGAAACGAATTGCATTCGCTCGGTGCGCTCGTGCCCCGCCGCTCCTCCGTCCGAAGTGCTGCTGTATATGTTTCCATGAGCGACTTCAAAAGCGCGCACCGGTTACCCATAGCTCACTTCAAACGAGACGACAAGACGAGGCGCGAGCGCTGGGTCTGAGGTAGAGGTTTCTAGCATTCAGGAATGTCCTAAAATCGTGTTTTGAGGGTCAGTCTCCACCAGATATCCATCCTTTTACAAAACAGACAACATCTGCTGCGCGCTTTGCCTGGCACGTGAATCTCGAGTCCGCGCTATCGGACGCGTCTCTGTCGACACGTGGATACTGCGTGCGCGAGAAGAGGCGCAGGCCTTGCACCGCCGATGCGTTTCCGTCGCGCAACGCGCCTAGCGCCCATCGCAGCATCCACAGCGTGGAACGATCACACCGGCAAATACATCGCATTCACGCAATGTGACGTCACAAAACGCATACGCACGGATACGTACACACACGCACACGCGCGAAAACAGAACAACATGTGCATGCGTGCAAGCGTCGATCTGAGGGTGTGCCCGACTGCTGCCGCAGAGGCGCTCCAGCGCGTGTCCATGCGAGCATCGTCGGGCATCGTGAATCAGAACTGCGCCCTCATGGAAACGGGCTACGTAGAGTTTTTCCATGTAGGCTCGGATCTCCGTGCGTCTGTTACAGAGTCGTCGAGCGCATCTGTCAAAACAGGTGACGTTTGAGGGCAAACGCACCGCACCGGGTTCACGGGAGATCGCTCGGGGCATGCGGATCGTTCAAGCGAGCAGCCGCTGCCAGCCTTGAGCGCCATCATAACGCGATCACACCAGTAGGTGCGTCGCGTTCCCGCGGAACCTGTGCGCTGCAGGTCAGCACACAGACACACGGTCCATACGCGGTGCACTGATGATGCTCGGTGCTACGCAGCGGGGATACCTCGCGTCAAGAGAACCGGCTGGCGAGCAACATCCTGGCGTCTGGCGTGAAACGTGCCTTGTCCAGCGCACAGAAAGTATCCCGGTGGAATGGAGAGATGCTCATCAGTCAATCTTCGAATGCGGTGGCAGTCACGGTACCGAACGCACTTTGTGCGCCAGCGTGCGCCCCGGGGATGAAGCGGCACCCGCCTAGTGCGACGCTTCGGCACCGGGTCACGTAGTCGCATTCACTGCTGCTGCAACTGTTGCACAACGACCGAGTTCAAAAGATTCGCCTCTGCGAGTGTCTGTGATTCTTCCTCTAGCGTTCGTCGTGGTAAAACCGTTTGGAATACGAAAGGTGTACCGGCATAGTCCGCGCGATGAGAACAAACGAGACTTCTGAGGTCGCGCACGCGGTGCGTGGTATTCAAACGCATGACCAGACGGGATCCATCAGCTAGACGAACCTGGACTTGCGTCGTGGGTGCGTCAGGGTCCAGGTCATCGGGCTCGACCACATCGCTGGTGCACGTGTTCGCCGTTCGCTGCGACGTCGCAGCGGGTTCCTTGGGAGGCTCCTCAGCTGCCTCACCAAGGCGATATCCTCCACCCTCAAACGGCCGCCGACGGCTCGCAGCTGCCTTATCCGAGGGTGCAGTGTAGTCTTCGAAAGAGCGGTCGACAAGATTGACACTAAGCTCGCTTAGGTCGGGCTCTTCGAGTTCGCGTGGTACAACCCCTGCGTGGATATCAGCAAGAAACGCTGCTTGCGCGGGGTCGTCCAACCTTCGAAGCTCTCCGTCATCCACAATAAAACCGTTTCGATAGAACGTAATTGTCTTTGTAACGATGCGCGTCCGAGCGGGTGTCGGAGCGCCTGCCGGCTCGTACGCATCGCTCCCCGGTGACTCCGTGTCGCCGAGTCTGTATCCCGTGCCGTGGAACGCTCCACTTGGACGAGCTGCACTCCCAGCGTCCGCAACCTGCGGTTGCCCGAGCTGCTGACGGGCCCGATCCAGAATAGCGGAAACTAGACGGTGTCGTGAACTACCAGACTGACGCGCAGCCGAGTTACGCCGCGGGTCTTGTGCTGGGTTACCTCGGATCGTCTGACCACTGGATTCGCCTCCGGCATAGTACTCGTTGTCGGAGCCGTCCTCTTCAACGTCTTCGTCTTTCTGTAGGTCAGCTAAGGTTTTAAACGGCATGTTCTCAAATAACACTGCTAACTGTCTCGACGCTCCTGGCAGAACTGCTCGCCAACTGCGCCTGCGTTACCAGACAGTAAAAAGCGTATCTTCGACAAATGTCCGGCTAGCGCTGCTGTGTGATGCTATTCAGCGCTGCTGGCGACGCGGTCCAGCCGTTCAGCGAAGCGGCGCGCTCATTCGCAGCAAGTTCAGTCATGCTGCAGCCGGTATGCGAAGCGAGTGCTCCCAGACAGACTCGACCTGAGCAGGGTCACTGGATCGACCAAACCGCTGCTTCCGTAGGGAGGGCTGGTCCATGATCAGGGGAGCATCGCAACCTCCACAAAGGCGCGGTAGTCGCTTTCATAACTGCCGACATGCATCAAGCAGCCGAGAAATTCTGGTTGAACGTATCCGTCTTACACGGTAGAGGTGAACGGTATGCCGCCATTCGCGAACCCATGGAGTAGTGTCGATTACCTCTACTTCAGCCAGCGCTGTATGGGCTCCGGGACGCAGCTTCAGTTGGTTCTGATCGCTCGTCTAAATGTTAGCCCTAGTCCGTGGAAAAGCTCAGAAACCTCTACAGTACCTGAGAACATGCTCGGATTCCGAAATAGACTATTCTCTAGGGGTTTCCGGTAATCAAGTCTATCAGCGCACCAAACGCGTGTTTGGGATAGAGGCTGTCGCTGCCGTGGAAACGTGCGCGCATACGCAACAAAGTGTTTTGTACGCGCTGCACGGAGTGTCTAGTCCGCGTGACCGCCAGTGCCCTACTCAACCACCTGGATACAGGGGTTGTGGTTCATTCACGGACTGGGATGCACCGGTGGCAGCGACAGCGTCCCAGCTGCTGCACGGTGCGATGCATCACACCTCGCCGCCTAAGTAGATATATTGAGCCTTACAGGATGCACACACTAGAGAAAACTACCTCATCTAATCTTCAATGGCCCCCATGGGTTTGTGCTGCGTCCTAGTTCCGGGTATCCGAAACTCCAGTCAGCATGGCAAGTGTGCTGCGCGTGGTGCGTTCTCGCACTCCACCGACACCCCAGCGCAAGTCGATGCCTTCAACCGAAGACAGGGACGGGTCTCGTCGCTGTTTTCATTTGGGACCTGCTGTGCCATGCCCTTATCGGGTCAAAAAGAATCTTCAGCCCTAGGTGGCATCACCAAATTTGCTGATATTTCGAAGAAGCCCTGCAGGTATCTCTGAAATTGTCCACAGCGCGCCAAGTGTCGCAGAAGCACCCGAGGCGCAAGACGCTGGTCGTTGGCCTGCGCGCGGGTCTAGCGGCTTCAGAACGGGGATCATCATCTTTGGCAAGCATTTTCGAAAACTGTCCCCGGATGCGATGCTGTATGCGAATAGAGCGCTGAACCCATCGCGCTGGTCTGTTGAACGAGCCCGCTGACCTGCAACCGATCGTTCACGTGGCCTGTGCATTGGAGAGCAGGTCAACGACAAGTTCCATTAACGAGGACGACTCCCACGTGGGAAGCGCATTAACGACTGAAGACGACTGCTCCCAGTGAGATGCAACTTTGGGCGGCTCCGCTGGCTGCCAGGTCTCGGTCCGCATCCAAGGAGTACAAGTTTACCACGTATCCGGCCGGAAAAGAGTACATCATAGACACGAAGGAATGCGGCTGGGATAAAAGGTTCTGCTGCAGCATGACGCATGCCCTACCCTATGCCCGAGTTCTTGTTCGGAGCTCCGTATTCGGATACGCGGTGTGCATCCGCCGACGCGCTCAGGAGCGCACAGTTCGCCCCAGACCCCATCCTCTAAACAAGCCTCCGTACGGGAAGCAGCTCTATCTTGTTGGAACGGGCAGTACGCAGTGGCATCTCGTAGGCCGCTGATCTCGCTTTCCAGGTCACTGGTGGCACTCGCTCATTCGTAGAATCATGATACAAACCTTCGTTCCTCCAGCATCACCATAACCATTATCATTACCATCCGCGCTGGACCTGGGAGGCGCTTCGCAGCTCGGAAAATGCCTCCCGAGCCCGCGCACTGCATCCAGTAGGGGTGGCGTGCTCGCGAATCACGAGGTCGCTGCGATGCGCGGTGCAATGATCATGCTATTGAAAAAGAACAGAGACTAGCCATTAAATAGCACCGAGATGACGGTTTCTTTTCCCCTCTAGGGTAAACGTTAAAAAGGGCAAGAGGCTTCTATATTGTCGAAAGCTTACCTTATGCGTGGAATTTTCCCAAAGCTTGACGAGTCTGCTAGGCAAGTGCATTTGCTCCAACCAGTGGCAGGTGCTTTCCTAACACCTGAGCAGCTCACCCGCAATACAGTTTATTCTGGGACTAGACGCAGTAAAGCTGCATATGGGCGTCGCCCGGATCGCAGTAGACCCCTAGCATATCGCTTCGCGCTGCCGCAGGCAACAGGCTTGTCTGCGCAGCTTGCTGGCTCCCAGAATGATTACGCACTCCGACCCCGTATCAGATGCACCACACCTCGAGCCGTCCCCATCAGCAGTATGGCGAAGCGGTTCCGTCTCCGTGCCGCAACCGCACCAGCGGTATAAGCGCTACGACGAGTGCTCTCGAAAGGCACTCGGCGCAAGATAGAACGTATCCAACGACCAGTACACCCGAGAGGAACTGTGATTGGTGGAACTCGCATGCAGGCTGCATCATGATGGACACTTTCCTGAAAGCCATTATCCATTCCGAATTGTGGGATCCTTGCTCATTGTAAACAATCTGTCGAACAAAAACACATGCAATGAACGTACGCGAGAGCGACGCTGGCGAGGAGCGCAACGCTGCGCTGCGTTTCCTCCAGCTCGAGTCTAGCCTGCGTCCAGTATTCGTGCTTGTCGAGCGGATGCGAGTCGCGACGCATATAGCGGCTTTCCAAGCGAGTCCTCTGCGAAGCTTGCGTTCGCTTTCCGTGAAGGGAGGCTCTACGACCGGGTTGAGTTGTTGCTCTATTGCTTCAGCGCGGCAAGCTGAACACTTATCGTGGCGAGCGAACGTCTCCACAGGTTGCGCTCTGAGGAGTCAGCTTCTCGGGCGTGCAAACCCAGCGTCGTCGAGTGCAGCACCGCGTACTGCCCACGCACTCCGGCTTCTAGCCACTGTGAGCGCTATGACCACGAAGACAGCGCTCGTTGCTGTTGCGAACGGGAGCGAGGAAATCGAGACGGTCACTGCGGTTGACACACTGGTGCGCGCGGGGGCTCACGTGACCCTTGCATCCGTGGAAAAGGAGCTACAGGTGACCGCTTCACGAGGCGTCAAACTAGTCGCTGACCTCCTCATATCTGATGCGTCGTTGCGCTCAAAGCAGTTCGACGCAGTGGTGCTGCCGGGGGGCATGCCTGGCGCAGAGCACTTACGCGACTCGCAACCACTCATGGACCTGGTGAAGAGGCACTTGGAAACGGGCAAACTCATCGGGGCTATTTGCGCTGCACCTGCGGTGGCGCTGGCCAGCCACCACCTTCTCAACGATGTCAAAGCGACCTGTTATCCAGCGCCGAATTTTCGGGCGAAACTCACATCCCACGCCCACATCGATGATCCTGTCGTCCGTGACGGCCAGTTTATTACCTCTCAGGGTCCAGGGACAGCTATGGCGTTCTCTCTGGCCTTGGTGGAAGCGCTTTTTGGTCATGAGCAAGCTGAGAAAGTCGCCAAGGCGATGCTCGTAACGCTGCCAGCCGTTTCCAAACGCTGAGCGACGCCACCTTTTAATGCACTGCATAGCGCCATCGCTGCGTAGAGCGCGTTGCTTTGTTAAAGAACGCTGCGGAAGCGAGACGGCAACGGCACGTTCGCGTTGCGCCCGCGCACCCAGAGACAGCGCCCAGGGAAATGTGTGCAACGTGACTCGAGTTGGTATGATCAGGTGAGAGGCATTGTATAGAGGGTGCCTTTTAAGCGCGAACGAATCAGGATGACAATAGAATGGCGAAACGGCCACCGGGCAGGTCGGGATTCCAGGACAGAGCATTTCACTTGAGAAAGCGTGCCCACATTAAAACACGGGTTTCGAAGCGAGTAAATCTTTTCAAGAATATCGCTGAGAGAGCACGTAAACACCACGATTGCTTCCAGAGCGATATCCGAAAGATGAACCTACCATCAGCGCTGCATACCTCTACGCGAGTCGATGCGCAACACCAGCGACGGCAATGCACAGACGCGACGGGTCGGACAATCCTGATACTGCACATACCACCTGGTACGCCTAAAACGTGTGCACAAGTATGGCGGCCACTGGCGGAAGAAATCATGATTTGCAGAATTGATGCCCCAGGGGTCGTGCTACGGGGCTTTGTCCTTCGGATGCGTTGCACAAACACCGATGGAGATAGACGCGTGCGAGCGCCGCCTTCGTATTGCACCAAATGCAGTTCACGCGCCTGCTCAGCCAACAGGCAGCACTCGTTTCAGCTGCTGGCGATGGTGAAGAATCAGGGGTCCCAGGGGTGTCGCTCGTGCCGGCGCTCGGTGTAGCGATATGCGCCACAAGGAGGCACGCTGGTCGTCGTCTTGCACCAGCGTGCTCACCGAAAGTCGCTGCAGCAACTCGCAGCGATCGCCCAGGAAGCAAACTGACGCACTGAAGCACGCGTCGGGTCACAGCATCTTCATCGCAAACGAGTAAACAGGTGCACAAGATTGGGTAAAGGAGGTAGTGAACGCTACGCTCGGAATCAATTGTCCGTTGAGGTGATCGCTCAGCGGCGCATCCCCTGATGAACACCCTGCCTGCCAATACAGGGCGGTGTGCCGCGCTGCATCATTGCCTTTCGCTACGCAACAGAGGGCGTCTGAAGCGGGGCATCGTAACAAATCAGGTTCACTGATGGAGGCTCGAGCCGCGTATCCCGAAGCGGCTCCGAGACCGGGGTCCGCTTAGGCGGCATTATCAGGATCACGAATGTCGTGCGCTTCACTGGAGGACCTTTCGGAATATGATCCTGCCCGCCTAGCGCGGGTGCCAGCAAGGCGGCGAGCGTTACCACGAATTGTGCGACGTCTGCAACCCGGCAGTGATTCCCGAGCCTGGGATATATCTTGGTTCACACACTGCTCGCACGCTGTTACGTAGTGCTGATTTATCATCGATATGAGCTTCTGGACAGCCTCGTGCACTGATGAATACACGCAAGTTCGTATCAGTAGGGTGCTGTATGTGATCTGCCGCAGCGCTAAACACACGGAAGGTGCACTACACCAGAGCCGATCGCAGCGCATCGTCTTCTGCAGCAACTTCGGGGTCGCGGCGCTCCGTGGCACGCTCCACAGGAATCACCTCGACCATGTGTAGTCCGATGCGCGACAAGTTCCGCTGTACCCGATCGCGGTAACCCATATCCACACACTCCACTTGCAGGGCTCGAGCGATAAGTGCACGGATGTTCTCCGCGTAAAGACGAGGACGTTCCATCTCAGTCGGTGATGGTTCATACAAGGGTAGATGGTGCACAGTCAACGACATCCACGGCTGGGCGAGTATGCAGGCCAGGCGCCACGGCGTCAAACCAACAAACGCCGGATCAAAATCCCAGAAGCCGTACCGCAGGGCAAGCGGGCGCACCGGGACTCCACTCAGAAAAGCGCCGGAGTGGAATCGCAAAAGTGCATCACCATTGGAGGTCGTTCCCTCGGGGAAGAGTACCAGCGGCGGATAGGCGTTGGCGTCCGCCGAAGTCAGACGCATCCGAATGAGCTCCGCTGTGCCGCCGGTTCGTGATCGCTCGCGGTCCACAAAAATGCTCTGCATCGCGGCAGCAATGGTGCCTACGAATGGAAGCCGCAGCACTTCTTTCTTTGCGACAAAAGCTGGGGCAAAGGCATAGATAAAGTACAGAATATCGAAGAAACTCACGTGGTTGCTGACGATCAGTGTACCACTTGAGAGATTCTGGCGCGAGCCCAGGTCACCAAACTCCCGAACGCGCCAGAAACCGTAAACTAGGAGTAGGAAACGCGAGAAGAAGCGCAAGACTCCAAAGACGATCCTTCGCCGCCATCGTGGCAACGGGTGCGCCGCCAAACTCGCACGCGAGACGCCGAGCGTCACCAAGAAAACCAGAATCCAAGCGAAAACGAGACAGCCGACGCTCAGCAACAATCGAATAGGCAAAAGTACTATGAGCCCAAAGACTAGGCGAACGAGCGTACCAACACGAAAAGTACGATCACGACGAACAAACGGGTTCCGCACCAGTTTCCTACAGCTGTCGCTATCGCCACCGCCGAAGCCGCAGCCGTCGACGCCTTTGGTAGTACCGTTGAGCGCTGCACCGGCAGCACTACGCCTTGGTAGCGTTTCATCAGACAGAGCGCCTGCGTTTTCCATAGCATCAGTTGACCTGTGGTCCGTGGCTCTGGTTTCAGCACAAATTGCTTCTGTTTGCGGTTGGATACGCGTGTAACGTCCACGGTGAGCAGTGCGGGCGAGTTGGTGCATACCTGTCTGCGCTTGATACCTTTGCTCCAGTAGAGGTGCTGTTTCCATCAAACCAAGAACGGAAAACAACCCCTCATTGATAACAAATTGCCCCTTAGGTACTCACAGTTTTTGAACGTGTACCAGAAACGGCGGTCAACAGCTTACCAGCGTTGCGTAGACAAGAAAGCGCAGCTGTAGCGAAGGAAATGCCACGTCACCGTTGGCGACACTCGCGCGAGCGCTCACCGGGAGCCGGGTCAACTGGTACGCGCTCGCGGGTGCCTATTGGGGTTCCTATCGATCGAACTGGGTCAGAAACCTGCGAGACGTTGCCGGCAGCTGTTGGGGACACCTCTGCGGTCGCTGCAGAGAGCGCCTACGAACTGAGGATGCGCAGGTTTGACTTAACCGTTTCGCAAGAGCCGCGAGGCGCTTTGTGGGGCGTGCTCCACACACGGACAGGCTTTGTGAGCACTAGTGGTGTGTTTCTGGAAAGACGGCCCAGACAGCGTGCGTGCTACGCCACTCGCGGCTGCAGTACAAGTTTGCATCGTGCAGGAGTCAAAATGTTGGCCAAACCTCGGTCCAAAGGCAAGAAAGGGAGCAAACGGCCGGCCGTGGGGAAGCCCGCAGACGGCAACGCAGTCCAGAACGCAAACTCGAACGTAACACGAGAAACGGACCACAAGGCAGCGAGAGCAGATAGCACAGATAGCTCGCCGAGGACGATGCCCTTCTCGGGTCCGATTGCTCCTTACTTGCTGAGAAGTGCGGGGTCACTGCAGCAACGGTCTCAGAGCGCTTCTTCGTCTGAGGATGCGCCCGGGGGTGCTGCCCCGGCAGCTCCGTCTCCAGCCACGGCGGACGCTTCCGAGAGGCCAGTCTCGGAAACGGCGACACAAGACCAAAAGCCCTCTAAGGTGGGCAAACAAACATCAAAGCGGAATTCTTCTGCGAAACTATCGCGCCCGGGGACAAAGAAGGGTACAGTTTCGAAAGAGACGACTGCATCGAACTCAGCTGCAGAGGCACGGGATCCCGCAAACGTGGAAGTTGATACCACATCCGGCGCAGGTGAAGGGGATCCAGACGCGGCTTCTGTTTTAGAGCTTGTCGAAGCGTTTCGAAAAGACAAGCGACCAAAAGATCGAGTCCTCGGAAACGACGAATCTGCGACAGGGAATACGAAACCGGGCAAAGCGAAAGCGGCAGCGGACCTGCAGCGCTATCTCATCAGGGATGTCGAGCAAAACCCGGAAACTGGTTACGATCGGGTCGCCGCTGTTCTCGGAAAGGGCCGTCCATCAAAGCGCTTTTTGGGAACGCTGCTGGGACCTTACCTCCAGAACTCACATCTGGTTGGCTTGGTTACCGTGTTGATCTGCACTTTTGGATATGATGCTGGTAACCCGTTGACAAATCTCAGCGAAGACGTGCGTGATAAGCTGCGGAAGGGCCTCCTAATTGTAGCGACGGTGAACCTGGTGATGGCTGTGCAGGCCTACATAGAAGCTCGTCGACGCAATCAGTCGCCGTGGTTCTGGTTCGCGAAAACTATGGCGCTCGGCGGACTAGCACTGGGCGAGTTGCTCGAGAACGTTCCCCTCTCTTCGAGTTCGCAACCCGATCCGCACGAGCGTCGGGAACAGTAATCGATTCCGCGATCGCAGCACGGAGGAAGAGGATCTTGGGTATGCCTGCTTAGCGAGACCGCACGAGGGGTTCCCCGACTAGACTGGCGATTCCGAGCGAAGACGACCAACCGAATCGGTGCAGGTGACGCTGCTGCATCATGCTTTCCGGGAAATCGCACCGCCGAGGCCAACACGAGGCAGGGTGGCAGGACGCCGGCATCCTCCGCTGCTGATGAGCACCATACAGAGCACTGTGAAAGCATCACCTGCACGGGATGTTGGCTTCGTATTCGGGTTTTGGGCTACGACGGGCTTGACACGCTCAGAGGAATTCCCGAAAACCCTCTGCAGGGAATGTGCGTTTCTCCCGAGGGCTGCACAGCGCCGTCAAGAGCGCCAATGAACGAGTCGCGCCGCTGCTAAACGCTGGTTATTGGCGTAGGTCTGCGCACCTGTAGAGCAGTGCAGCTCCGCGTCCATGTACTGCCTGAGCGTTGCCGCTGCCGCAAACGTCAATACACGGCTCGCAATCGTGGGATGTTCGTAGTTTGCAGCATCTTTGTCTAAAAACCGGCGCTGTCGCTGTACGCCCGGACAGACATTCCCGAACAGCCATGCGACACAAGCTTACCGTACCCAAGAGATGTGTCGCTACTCGTGGAATTCCCAGAGCATGTGTCGTCAAAAACACCACGATCTGGCCAATGTCATACAGGTGCGATCGCAGCGGTGCGCATGGATCGGTGTAGAGTCCCTGGTTGGGCGTCGTACATTCATTTCGGAACAAGATGGAAGGGATCGTCGTATCCAACTCGGGCCATATACTAAAGTTGGGGTGGATTCGCCCTGGCCTTAGACACTAAGCTTTGCGGGCTTTTTCAGCGACTGCCTCCTATTGCTCTCTCTGATCCCGGGCTCTAAAAGAGCCAGCCTCTGCTGGCCCCCCAGCTCCAGTGCCAGCAGCCAAAGGAGCTTGATGACTGCTTTTGAATCTCAATTTTGTGGCATCTAGCGACGCTCGATGCATTTCGCATATAGGTAGTCGACGCGATGTACGCATCGCTTGCCATTTTCATCTGGTTTGGATACATCCTCGGTGCATTCTTTGCAGCCGTGATGCGTGACTGGGGTCGGGAGCTCTCACCACTCCACGACGCCTTCTCTTCACTGGGCTGCACTGTAGCGCGGTGACACATGCTTCATCGATCCGTGCATGGACTTGATGGGTAGAGAGGGCTCGCCTTGATGCCATCCACTGTTTCGGCACCTGGTGCGGCTCTCTTAAATCACGGGTTGGTCTGGGTGATGCTCTTGTCGACAAAGCTGGACGCTGCTCGCACAGTCACACGCGAATACACGCTACAGAGAATTCGTGAAACGAACGCTTATCATTGATGATACGGGTATCGGAAGGGAAACGCGCGCTAGAGAACAAGCCGAGCGGGCTCGATGCGTCTCTGCTGCCTTTGTGCAACGAGGCTACGCATTCTCTAGAGGACGCGATCGCTGCAATGACTAAAGTCCGAGTACAAGACTCTTTTCCATGCAATGAAAAGCGACTGGCGCCTTTGGGGCCATATCCCATGAATTGCACGTTGCCGCCTGCAAATGCCGCTTCGTTGATATCCTCAAAGGAGAGAGCGAATCACCTTTCGAACGCGTTCGATTATCAGTTTACGTGACAAGTTCAGTCAGCCTGCGGCTTGAGCTTGTAATCCATTCGTCAAGCAACGAAGTCGAATATACGTTCCCCGCCAGTCCTTCCGCGCGAGCTGCTGCGCACACGCAATGCCCTGGAACGGAAAGATCCAAAAGTTGAAGAACGCGTTTTTCGAGCATGCTAACCGTAGCGAGAGGAGCATTGTAAAGAATTTTATATACGCAGTGGATGAAAATATTGTTCATGTTACGAATACATGTTAAGGCAAGTCGCGAATCATGTTTATTCCGGTCACGTAACGAACGGCAGCGGCAGAACTTCGAACCAGCCACCCCGGATTTTCGTCGAACAATCCTATATGTATGTATGCATCCGCAAGTCCTGATCACTGTACTTCGAATGCCAAGTCTGTGCGTCTATGAGAAGATTCTGAAAATATCTCAAGGAGGGAACAGAGCATGAGCACCTCAGCGTTCCATGATCATGAGACTCTACTGCAGATGCTCTGCTATTTTAGCGGATTTTCGCGATACCCCAGAATTTTGCTCTCTTCGAATAAGAAATATTTAGCCTAGTTCTGGGTTTCAGCGGAGCATAAGGAATGGATTCAGTCTGGAGATTAGACGATTTTTGAGCAATTCGCTGACGAAGAAACGAAACGGGCGGTACCTATCACACACCAAAAAGCATCGCATGCTGTATACCGCGCAGTTTCATGGGCTGTTCAGGACAGAGCGCTGTTGCTGTGCAAGCCGCGTAGCCATTTGGCGCTGGCCTTTACGGATACTGCTTGTGAACACCACGCAGAATTGTAGTTCAGAACGAAAAGCGTTCATTCATGAAGCATTGCATTGACATTGCAATCCGTGCACGCTTGATGCAAGCGGCAATGGGGTTTAATTACAGGGAAAAATCGCGATTGGTCGCGAAACTCCGTGAAAACATGCGTCATAGAGTCGGCGTGTGACGCTGACCAGTCTGTCACCAAATCCGCACAAATCTGCAAGATATGCATGAATGAACGACGATTCATTCGTGCAAGGAAGACGTCCAACTACGCACCGAGGGTCGCGCATCCTGCCACAAAGTCACCTAGCGCAGAGTATGAACGAAGGATACGTCGAAACGACGTTTTCGACAGGCTCACTCGATCTGTCTGCGACTCTTCGAGCTGCTTCTCCACAGCCGGTCCCCAGAACCAGAGCTCGGAGTCCCATACGAAACCCATGCGAGGAATGCGCTCGGGGAACATACAAACGAGGCCACCCGGCAGATGCAGCAGGCGTCGCGCTACAAAACCCTCTTCGACATTAGGAACCAGACACACGCTGTCCCCGTTCACGACGTAGAGGCCATCAACTGTTTCAAATCGTGCAATAGAGCGCCGAAGTCGATGGGTGCAAGGCGCAGTTCGGGCTGCCTCACGCGCGAGCAATGCTTCGATTGTACGTCCGAGGCGGCCTTTGCGGCCTTTCAGCTTCATCGATCGTGGCGTGCGTAAGAGCTGTATGTCTGATCCAGTGAGATCGGGATCCTCAAAGCTGCTCCGATCTAAATCGACTTCAAACCGCGAGAGCGTCTCCGGTGCAACTGGCCTGGAGTCAATCGGTTCTAGAGATACTTGTGAGGCGTGCCAACAACACGGCATCTGCGGATAAAGCGGAAAAATGCAAAAAGCCGACTCCTCCTCTGATGGGAATTGGATGCGTTCAAGAACGCTTGTCGCCTTTTGTTCCGCGGCGTTCGTCGTGGATGGCGTCGATGTGCCAAGCATCCGAGCTGAGAATGCATCACTGGCTTGCCGCCAGCCTTGCGAGGTCGATGCTGTCGCTCGGGAGACGGGCGTAAGCCAGCGCACTCGGACCGCTACAGCGGCACGTTCGCGGTACTCAACAGCTACATCAAGAAGGCCAGACGAGCAACCACATCGCTCGGCCTGTTCTGACGGGATCACAAAACCAAAATTAAGCTCAAACGGTGTATGTGCGGGCGGCACGTAATGCCGACCCACAGCCGACTCGACATGAACCGCAGGAACGCCACCAGTATATGAGCCGTCAGGGAATACAACCGTGCCAAACGGCATGCACCAGTCGTAGCGTGAATCCCGCTCGGTGCTCGAAGTCTCCGGGGATTCGAGTTCCAAGGGAACGAGATCCGCTTCCTCCGGAAGCAACGATGACGGCCGCACATGATGCAAGAACTTCCGCTCTATCAGTGAACCGCTGGTGACATCGTAACGACAGCTCCAGCCATTCCAGGCTTCGTGAGCAAGGCGCGGCTTTTCAAAAGAGAGCACCTGCGGAGGCCAGTCGGCACGGCGGAACGTCGGGTCCCGACCCGGTGTCTGACCCAGCTGCTGCCGATACTGCTGCAGAGCCTGCCTTAGCGTGCTTCGTGGGGGCAAAAAATCTGCAGCCTTCTTCGGCGGACCATCCAGTCCTAGCTTCTCGGCATGCTCTGCGAGGAACGCGGCGACTTGCTGGTCAAGCGCCAAGTCCTCAGGAGAGGCGAGCGGCTCGTTGGCGAAAAGCGTGCCCTCGTTTTCCACGAGCTCCTGAAGAAACCGCTGAAATCGTGGGTTATCGAGGTTGATCTCTTCATCAGGAGGGACCGATGCCCACTGTTCTGCTACCTCCTTTCCGTAGCGCTGCTCGAGGTCTCGGCGCACCATGTTGCAGAAGAGTTCGTGAAGGCGCCGCAGCTCCGTGAGCTCGTCTGGCGCGCTCTCGGATGCACTGCCCACCGCCCGCTTACCGTGAATGGACGCTGTCAGTGGCGGCTCCTGCTCAGGCCCGCTCGAGAGCGCGCACCCGAAAAGCGTCGACCCAGAAGTACATCGCCGAAGAGCCCGTTTTCGAGAAGCGCCTCGCCGCCTGTAGCAACAGCGCCCTGACTGCACCGGAAGCTGTGCCTGGCGCTCCACCCGACTCAAGCTGCAGCGTTGAGCTTGCACACCTGCGGAAATTCCAATGAACATGTGATCCGTAAACTTGGTGTCCACTGAACACGATCGATTCCAACTGCAAGCCAGGAAACGCGGTCCAGCGCAGCACCTGAAGCTGCGTTGGAAAGTCAACCGCCGTCGGCCGCATGCCCGTGGCCGCTTGTGCAGCTCTGGTACCGCCGAGTAGGGTCAGTGTGCTGGGTAAACGTTCTTTCTTAGCGAGCGTTGTGTGGGCTGTCGTGTGTTTGTGTGTCCTTTATCACACGGAAGGTTGTCGCAGTGGGATCAGAGCGAACATCGTAGGTCTTGAGCGTAAGTTGCTGAGACATTGTACAACAACAACAACAGCAGCAGCAGCAGCTGAGGCCTGGGGTTCGCTCGGTGGAGAACACGTCGTCTGCTGCAGGCTTGCCGAGGCGCACATCTAGCGGCGAGGTACCTCCCTGCTAGCACCTAGACTTGGGCTGAATTCTTCCAGGACGTTAACTGCACCCTCACCGGTCACACTCGATACAGGTACTAGCAGTACTTTGGCTATGGTTCGTTTGTCTCAAACTGCTGCTGGACGGAAGCGGAGGCGTGGGAACGCGGGTGGACGTGATAGCGCGTACAGTAGCGACCAAGTGCAGGTCGTCGAGCACGAGATCCCACTTGCACCTGGTGAGGGCATCATTGGCGTAACCACTTCATCTGGTGCTGACCTTGTTGTCGTTCGAGAGAACGGCTTGATCGAGTGGCGCTCGCCACGATATCGCTACCACGCAGAGAGCGTACTCGCTGCGCACGCTGCAGTTCGGGGCAACCGAACGATAACGGCTGCTGCTTTCCTCGCAGTTCCTGGAGGACTGCTGCTTGCACTAGGTGACGCTCAGGGGCAAGTTCACTTTTATGACGCTCTGCAGGCTGTGCTCTTGGAGTCTGTGTGGACAACCCGCGGCACAGCAGTCGCAAGTTTAGCGTTTCGCCCGCTCGGTGAACGGCTCGAAGAAGAGGCGGTCATCGCCTGTGCGTCCAAGGACGGCAAACTACGCCTATTTCGGGGCCCTGCAGCCGTCGGAGATGCATATCATGCCGCACGCGGTGTCATGCAGGCGGCATGGTATCTCGAACGGACGCTGCTGATCGCACCAAACGTACCGTTGCAATGTCTCGACTGGTCCCGCAGTGGTGATGCAGTTGCAGTGGGTACCGCTGACGGTCAGGTTCGGCTGCTGTCACTGCCGTCGGGAAAGAGTGAAACCATCGCTCTTTTGAAAAGCGCCGGTAAAGCGCTCAGCATTGAATCGCTCTCCTGGAATGGTGCGGAGACGGGCGGTTTCCTCGCCACCGGCGATGCCTCTGGTCGCGTTCTGTTCTGGTCTCTGGACCCGTGGACACGCGGAAAAGCGTTAGCTGTCTGTGAATCCTTCGAAAACTGTCATGGAGCTATCACACACTTGCGGATTCTCGGAGCGAATCTCGTGTTGTTTGGCTCGGCAGATGGGAGCGTCGGATTCCTCCAACGACTGGAGGCACGGACGCCCTGGTTCGTGAGCGGGCGCCCTCAGCGGCTGCATCGACGTGCCGTACGCACCTCGTGTGCAGTTCGACCTGCATGCAGTGACGCTTTCGGCATCGCCACTGGTGCCGACGACGCGCTGCTCTGTCTGATTTCGGACTTGGCTCGACATTTGGAGTCGCCGGAAAAGGTGACGCGCCACGGAGCACTTCGGGCCCCTGGTCAGCTCCGCGTTTCCTGTTGGCCTAGTTCGGAGGGGAGCTGTTTCGTGGCGGACTCGCCTGTCGAGCGCGTGTTACTCCAATGCAAGGCGAATACGCGCTGCGAGTTGTGTGTCGATCGCTATCGATTCACGACTCAGGCTTTGTTGGCAGCGGGAGACAACGGAAGCGCCAGCCTCACACTGGGTCATCCACAGGGGGCGTTCTGCTTGTTTGTACACACAGGAGGCGCAGCGCTGTACGCGCTACGGAAACATAGAGCTGAGCGCATCCCGCTCTCAGAAAAGAAAGCCGGAATACTCAAGGGAGCGATGATGGGGGCTGCGGTGCACCCCGACACGTTTGTGGTGCTCGCGAGCGACAAGATTCATTTGCACGTTTTGTTCGTTCAGGAAACCAATACGACGTCGCAGTGGAAAACTCGAGTACGTTCGCTGCGGCTGCAACAAGCGGACGCTTGTTGTTTATTGGGTGCTGGTGAGAACGAGCTCGCCGTCGCGTATCGAAGCGGCGTTGTAGAGCGATTTACACTGGAGATCTCGGAGAATCACCATCCAGAGTTGAGGACTCAACAGAGGATGCTGCTAAGCGCACCCGCATGCGCGCTCTTCCTAGATTCGCCTCGTGGTGCGCTATGGACCATAGATTCAGATCACATTCTGGCGGAAAATGGTGAAAAAAAAGTGCAACTCCCACAGCCAACCGTTGGATGCTACTATCTTCTGCGCGGCGGGCCGGGGAGCTCGCTCCTGGCGGCGACGCGCTCCTGTGTGCTACAGATTGACGTGCCATCATGTGGCGCATATCGCAGCCTCTATACCTGCCGAGACTGCATCTGGGGGCTGAATTATGCCTCTGCAGCGAATGCGCTTCTGGTTGTACACGGTGCCGATTCGTATGCTGCTGATTTGGCTCTGGACGAAGCGCTCGGGCGGAAACGTTTCGGCATGGAAAGGCGGTTTCGTGGACGCCACACCTACATTATGAAATCCGCGACAGCTCGTCCACGGCGTGCGCGCTCATCCATGATTCGGTCGTGATACGGCTTGTGGGCGATTCGCTTCGCAAGGCGCCAAGTGGACGCGCAGTTCAAGTTCTTCTTCTGCGTCGATGGATGTGCTCGCTGCCTCGCTTGGAACTGGAGCAGATCAATACACTTGAAATTGCGAGCAAACCTATCGATTCGTGATAACGACGAGCCCGACTCCAATCGTACCATCGCATCAGCGCTCAGAAAGAAGCGTACGATCGCGTCCATCGCTTCTTCGTGTTGCCTGGAAGCGTGTGAAGCGTGCTTTCCAGGTGGACATGCTCGCGGGACGGCGACCGCAACGCTGCAACGCAGCAGTGCGCCACAATGACCCAGACACAGCACTTTGGCGCGTATTGTGATTAGCGGGATCCACTGCCGACGCTTTTGTGCTCGTCACCGATAGGACTGCAACGTAGATCGCGAAGATAACGGGCATTCAACGGACGCTCGGCTCGTAAACGCTGAGATGCTACCAGATCCGAGCGTTCATGGAGCGCCAACCATTCATGCCGATGGTCTGGGCCGACGCTTTTTCGACAACATAAGCGCCATTCGCTCCGTCGGAGCACATGCTCAGAGGAACGGATATCGCTTGTTCCGTAGAGAGCGATCCATGGCGGGCCGCGATCCGAGTGATCGACGCGCATCGGCCTCGAGATGCCTCATCGGCACGCACTGGAAACAGCGACGACATCCTTGCCACGCAGAGAGTTTCTGCAAGGCTCTTTCGACAGCAAACGACCGCACAGACGCGCTTTGCAAAGAACGTTATGTTGGCATCGTGCGCTGTTTACGTGATACCCAATGGTAGCGCCCTGCACCAGGGTTGCGCTACGGTGCGCATGCATGACGTCTCAGGAGGTACACGTGTCCGCGGCAGCGATCTGAATCGCGTATTTGTCCTCTTTATACAGTCTTATACACCTTTGCAGCAGACTCTCATGCGTGTCGGCCTCGTACAACGTCACAGTCGTGCAGCGAACGCCTTTGGGGCGCCTCTCCGACGGTTCATGCCCCCGGCTCCTTCTAGCTGGGAGATACGGTTCGTGTGCTGAGCCACGCCAACTGGCCGGAGCGAGTGACGAAAATAAAGTCGCTCGCGCTTGTCGCCCAGCATCCCGTTGTCATCGTGATCATGGAGGCGGCAAGTCGCTGACTCAGACGTGAGAGCCCCGTGGCCAGCCTTCTACTTGGTGTCGTTTCGGAGCCGTCCGCAACACCCCCTGCCTGATGTGCCGACCCTGGCTGACCTATGTCTGTGGATGATGCCCCGCTCTCGATGGAGATCCATACGGGCACGGGTGCGTCGCCGCCCACCAACAGGCGATCGTCGTTCTGCGCTCTCGCGAATGCACAGCAAAAGGGAAGCGATTGTCGATGGAGCGTTCGGCCGGTGTCCAGGCTCGTGAGTGCAACCTCGCCAGGACGCGACGCAGTGCATACGCATCGCCAACGCTGCCAGAACAGCACATCCACGATCTCCTGACAATGCATCCAACCGAGAAAGTCGATTTCTGGATGCATCAGCTTTCCGCGGATGAGCAGGAGGAAGCCGGCTGTGTATCCGACGGCCACCACCAGAGGCGAATCGCTCTCGCGAACTGGTTCCGTGGCGGTACCGTTCCGTCGGGCTTGCTCGGGTGATGCAGCCGCGTTCGCCGTCGTAACCAGCGCCGGTATCGGTGCCTGCACAGCTAGCGCCGAGACACCAGCGACAGGCGCAGCAGCGCCCAGCCATTGCCGTATCCGCTCTGGTGCGACCAGCGAGAGCGGACCTGCGTGCCACGCTGCGTCCAGGTAGGTCACCCGCCCGGAGACGTGCCCAGCGATGACGGCACCACTGGGCAATGGGTGTAGCTTTGTGACGTACTCACGTTCGGCCGGCGACGGCACGGTGGTTTGGTCGTCGAGGACGAGAATCGTGGAACGGGTTTCAAAGCCGAGCTCACCGCTCTCGCATGCGTAGCAGCGCAAGGAGAGGTCCTCGTGGGCTACAAGAACCTCGTTGCTGGAGGCGAGATAGGTTGCTGCGGTAGCCCGCAACACGCGAGCGCCCGCTAGCCCTCCGAGCTGAACGACGCCGCTTTGCTTGCGCTCCGCACGGAGTCGCTCGGGGCACTCGAAAACGACGCATAGCCGGCGGTCGACGAGCTTATCCTGCCATCCAAGCTCTGGATTCCAGCGGAACGCTTCGATTGACGTCTCTGTTACCACGAATACTGCTTGGAACTCGGCATGATAAAAAGTGCACAGTGCGTGAGCGCTGCGAAGACGAGGTCCCAACACAGCCGGCGACAGCTCAGCGGCTCGCTGCACCTTTAGCAAGGGCGTGGTTGCCCACTCCATGCCCGAGTCCCTAGGTAGTGGCAACTACGAAAGACGCCAAAAAGGCAGCGTAGGCCGCAGACTCTGTCGTTCTGGAAACGGCAGACGGAAACGCACTCATAACCACGAGCAGCGGAGCCAGCGCCAGCATGCCGCGTTACCTGGGAGGGCGTTCGAGTTGCGAGCAGGCGCCACGAAGCAAAACGCCGTTGAGCTCGTTTTGGACGCTCCAAAACTGGCCGCAACGCGCCTTTTTGGCTGCTCTCGTTCTGATACTAGTGACCCGACAGTGACGCCGAAAAGACCTGGACTCGTTTGTGTGTTCTACGCTGCTTGCCAGAATCGACGCGTTTGACGGTGCTTGCTGGTCGGCGCGAACAGGCTCCCGCGCCCAAACGGCACACGAAAGCGCGGTCTCTCCGGCTGGTCAGCTACAGACGCAGTGCTTCAGTCGAGACACGGAAGTTCGACAGAGTAATTTGCAAGTTTCATAGACGCGATGAGGAACCAGTTGCGGATGCTGTTCGCTTTGCGTCGTTCCAACGCAGCTATCGGCTTTGTAAGTGCGCGCAACCTATTCTGGAACCGGAAAAGTCTTTCACGGCCACTGTGCGCACCCTGAAGCGCTTGGAGCTTTCATCAAACTGCATATCAACGCATCCTGCGACTTGTCAACATCACTGCCGCCCGATATCGACCGGCTGCTCGCTCGCAGCCGTATCATGCCAGCCAGCCAGCCAGCGACTCCGAGACAGCGACTCGATATCAATAGGACGCAGGGACAAACTCTCTGGTTACCATATTACAAAGGCTCGGGAAAAGCACGTCAGCGAGAGTGTAGCGAGCCTCGATGACCCGAATCGATGCGATGCACGTCACCGCCCGTATGGCTATCCATAAGGCCGCGGATGCGATTCGGAACGCTGTGGGCGTGGTGGCGCATCAGGCGCACCGCGGGAAATGCAGTGCGCTGTCCCAGTTGGATATGCGTGCAACGTATGCGTGCATGCGTGCAATGGACAGCACTTGAAACAGCGCCTCCGAGCGCTTCAGCAGTGCTTTCCGTATGCAGGTTACTGTCCAAAGGGTCTGGAATTGCAAGTCTTTGCACTACGGTGAAAGTGATTCATGGTGCTCCCGACGGATCCCGAGTTCCCGTTTCCGATAGACGCTCTGGTGCGCATCGAGCTGGAGACTGGGGAAACCCTATGGGTGCGTACGCGAACACACGACGTTGTGTCGAAGAGCGATAGCAACGGCAAGTCGTGGACAGCGCGGCTGCGCTGGCAACAGCACTCGCAAAGGGTCGTGATCCGTCCGAATGTGCGAAATCCTCAGCACCCCGTGGTAACACGGATGCGGGATGGGAAGCTGGTTCTGTGGAGGCAGCTCGAATCAATGCCTACTCGTGCGGCATGTGGAAACGTCGCGGAAGCTCCTGTGCGGCCGAGTCGAAGCAAGCGTCGTCGCACGTCGTCGGCTCCTGTTTCGAGCGCCCCGCAGTTGAAAGCACAAAAGTCAAAGGAAATTGCGCACGAGGTCAAAGACTCACATGATGTCGAGAGCGCTGCTCCAGGAGCAGCGGTCGCGACAAACACCAGAGCCACTGCAGTGCGTGAAGCGCCCCGTGACGAAACTCCCGAACATATGCGTCGGCAGCGTCGCTGCCGTACGCTGCCCGAACGGCCAGCAGCATCCATTGCCACGGTGCCAGCATCTGCAGGCAGCGTCTCGACGCCGCGGATCAGCGCGTGCATACGAGAAACGAGTCGTAAAAACGCGGAGGAACCGAGCTCCGCACGAAGCACGCCACAGAACCGAAACGCATCGCGCATGCCGCGTCCGATACGGAAGACCGAATCCAGGTGTGCCTGTGCCTCGACCCGTAACCCGTGTCCGAGGCTCGCAAAAGCGCCGCACGCGAATCGTAAGGATTTAGAAAATTACAATCTGCACAGCACTGCTGCTGCTGCAGCTGGAGCTGCTGCCGCTACCGGGGCACCAGATACGGACCTTGTGGAACGAACGGATACGGAGACAAGGATGGCTCTGCTCGATGAATTGCGCCATGCACATGCCGCCGCCGCCGCTGCTACCAGCTCCAGCATGATTCATGGGCATCCCGTGCCCGCGACGGATCGCCGTTCGGTGAAGTACGGGCCGCACTGGCGATTCGCACCGCTTGCAGCCATTGCCGCGCACGCGCGCAGCCTCGCGACCCCTGGGGTTGTCACGGGAGTCGGCGAAACCGCATGCTCGACGCTTTCGTTACTGAAACTGCTCGCGGAGGATACGAGGCGATTGGTTGACGAGATACTGATCCTAGCTTCTGGTACCGACGAAGCGGAAACAACAGAGCCGGCAAAGCGCCTGCCCGATCGCGATACAACCACAGAGACGCTTGGACGCATTTTGCTTGCGTACGCACAGGCCTTGGTTTCTGTGGCGGAGGCGCAAGCAGGTTCCGGAGAGTCGCAAAACACTGTGATGCATGACCTGGGAAAGACCGCTCTTCAGGCGCTGATCCAGGCTGAACGATCGGGTATTCGAGAACCCCATTTTCGACATGCACTCCGAACTTTGATCCGAGGCTTCGTACCCGCGACAGCATCAGCGGATTGTGTCGCTGCTATCAGCGCAATACTCGAAGAGCATCTTCCGAGCGGACGCATAGAGCGAGAATCCCACCGCTTAGAGCTACTGTGTCAGGTGGTTACCCTGGGTCCGGATCTGCTTGCCCTAGCATCAGTATTGAGGCGTGCGAGCCGTAACCAGACGTCCCACGTCCTGTCTGCGGTCGCGTGCCCTGACCTGAGGGCTCCTTGTTCTACCAAATGGTACAGGCAGGTCGTCCAGCTCTACGAAATCGGGGCCAGAACCATCGCGAATCAGCTAACTGGTTGTTGGCCGGCGGAAGACCTGCAGGAACACACCGCTGATTTCCTCGTCAACGGGGCGATGCAGTTGCCTTTGCTTTGTACAGGAAACCTATCAGAACACGATTCAACTGTTGCGCCTGTGAGATAGATTCATACTGCCTGCTGTTTTCGCGAATGGAGGCAGTATCGTGGACAAGTTGCCTCGTGTTGGCGCGTTCTGTGGCGGAGCGGACCACGCCACCACCAGGAAATCCATGATGACGCCCTATGGAGACCAACGGAGACGCCGCATCAACCCTCATGCGCAGACAAGGACGAAAACGATCCGAAGCGAGCGATAGGATGCACTGGTGGCGTCTGCTTGCGCGCCGTCTCCACCGGCCGCATCACGTCGCCCGCAACAGAACACCGGTTGCAAGCATGGTTGCGCTTACAAGTCACCAGCGCGGGCCGCGCTGTGCTGTATGCCGCCTGTAGCCTGAGGCCGCTGCAGCCTCCGGTGCGCAGAACCCGAGCGATTCTCGAGAACTGCCACGTTACGCGGACACCCGTTTCTACTTTTCAGCAGAAGGACACACTCCCGACAGAACATAGCCTGGTACTTGGCGCCAGGGGCGTTGCAGCGACAGCAGCGCGGCGTCTCGCCTCGCCGTTGTGGTTGCTCGACAAGCAGAAGCGCACAGTCTGCGCAGATGCGAGCAGGTTCGAATAGCGCGTGCACTGCTTCACAAGTCACGCACTGACCGTCGCAGCGCGCACATAACAAGCCGACTTCACTGCCCTGTGTGCGGCCGCACTGAGCTCCGGTATGTTTCAGGGACATTTGCGGTGCGCTCGAGCGTCTCGCTTTCGCCTCCTGAGAACGCGACGGCCAACTGCACGCACAGTTCACAGGTTCAGACTCGTAGTTGTCGTGGGTTTCGTCAACTAAGCACCGCTGCGCCTTTAGACGGTGCCAGCGCGTCTCCAAAGCCGCCTAACGGGGAACTCAGGAACCAGTTCGGTGTCAGACTTGGAGCAAAACTTTCAACCAGTGCGCTCGTTCCACACGTTGCAGTACCGTCAAATCAAAAGGTTGAGCACTGGCTTATCGGGTACGCTGAAAGACTCGGCTAGTCCAAGCGGACGCGTGTCTGCCAACGTAACACTGACTAGAACGCGGCCCTGTTTTGGTACTTGCTCCGGGGCTCGGTGGACCGCGATGGACCACGCGACGAGCGCGCTCTGGCAGGCAGCTGCACAGCGATGAAGTCAGAGGCCTGGGAACGCGCACAGCGCCGCGGAGTTAATCCGACGCGCGTCCGGAACGCCACAGCGCACCGTTTATGCCGCAAGTTGCAGAGCGCCTGCGAGCAGGCCGGCCCAATGAGCAGCTCGCCACAAGTCCATGAACTGAACGGGCGTTCAGCAGGCTCGGAACGTGCACAGCCTCCTGCTGTTGCGGATTCGACGTTAGCAAACGAGTTAGAAATCGACCAAAAGCCGCTTTACAACGAATGCACCGCATTTTCTGCATTTAGGCCCCGTTTCATGCCGTATATGTATGTCAACGCCAGTGCTTAGTCGCCGCACCGTCTCGGCAGCGTTTCAAGGTGATTCGGGTTCGGGTTCGGATTCGGGTTCCAGTTGCGCAACGATAACGCTCGCATCGTCACCCTTCCCAGGACAAACAAGTCTCGGCATGCGTTCCGATATGTAAGGATCGCAATTGGTGCAGCTGGAGAAGTTATGTGCGAGTTGTGCCAGTTGATAGCTTAACAACACTGGATCTATGTGGGTAAAGGTGCCCAAGCAGGTCCGATTCGCCACCGCCAGATTCGAATCATACGCAGAAGAGACCGGACACACCAGCGCGAGAATCTGGCTCTCACTGATATTATCGAAAAGGCCATCCGTCCCAAATATAACCGTATCGTACGCTCGTAGTCGGAACACGTCGAGGTAAATGGGCACCACATCACCCGTACACGTCTCGATCGTGATGCTGGTGCGTTGGGTTTCCGGATTCCCCTCGATGCCGTTGAGGCTCGAGAACACAATTGTTTGATCACGAATCACGAGGAACCCGATATTGCCTGTACGCACGGCATAGAGCAGATTCCCATTGTTTGCGAGACATGCCGCCAGCACCGACACCGAACGCACTGCTTCGGGCGGCCGCATATGCGTCACGGCATCACGGAGACAGCTGAGTAGTTCGAAGCGTGGTTGCCAGTTTCGTCCTCGAGCGGTGTCTTGCTCCGATTCAGAAAAAAGCACCTGTTCAATGAACCCGTCTAAGATGTTGCGCACATGGTACTGCGCCGTGTACATATGCGCCAGTTCTACATCGCGCGTGTCCTTAATCGGTGCGAATGCCGCGCGAACAACACCACGCTCAGTGGCGTAGAGAACGTGACCGCAGTCCGCAAGGCCCACCGCGCCCTTCCCCTCGCAAACGAAGACCGTGTCCGTCGACCCCGAGAGAAGCAACGCCTCACCAGGAAACGTTGTACCTTGTTCCGCACTAGGACGATCGCCGATGATCTGGTACGTTCCACACCGAAAGACGCACCGCTGCTCTGAGACTGCAAGCGGACGCTGCTCGTTGTGCGGCTCGCTCCGCAACGACAGTTTCGCCACGCCGCACCGCCGCTGTGCCTCGTGTGAGTGCTGACCGCGCAAACACCTCAGTGCAGACGCCGACGAGAAGAGGCTTCCGCGATAAACACACGTGTTAATAACGAACTGCAACGGATTATCAGGTTCAACTGGCTGCCGCAACGAGCTTGGGGTTTCTTTGAACAGAGTGCCGCCTCGTTGCCTGCCGAGCGACCGCATGGCGAAAACGTACCGCCTGCTTGGCATAGACAGTGACCGGAAAGCTGCACCGAAAACGCCGTTGTGCTCTTCTCGAGCCTGTGTTCCGAGACCTGCACGCCGCCTCCAACAAACGCCGTTCTAAAGAAAAGGCTGCTGTCACCAGTGGTACAGCAGTGGCGCGCCACGCGCCCCCCAGACAAAACGTCTCGAGCAGATGCGCAGATGCCCTTCAGATTTCTTGAACCGGCCACCCAATACTGCTTCCAACTTCTTTTCATATAGTTCAACTTTGAGAGGTTGTCCAAGAAAATTTTCTCTTGACAGCTGTGGAGGTCGTTTCTCCAGCAGCGCACATTTCCTTATATTGATTGCGGCGTTAAAGTCACGATTCACAAACTCCATATGTTTCTTGCCATTGGTAGTTGGACTCACTAGTGCAAGCAATCCACGAACTTTCGCCCTCCTTTTCATTTGCTCTTCCGTCAGCGGTCCGTACTTTTTTACATCCTCAGGGCTTCGCTGATATTTTTCCATCTCGACCGTCTGAAGTGTGCACCCCAGTTCATGGTGTGTATAGGACGTTCGGAACTCATCTGCAGGTATCGTAGCGAAGCTCCGTGCGCACTTCTTGTACGTTCTTGTTGTTGGAGCTGGCGTAGTTCCTTTTTTGGGTCCTCCATCGCCCTGCTCCGTATGCTACTACGAGCCTTTGACTTTCATCCTCCTTCAAGGCGCTCAACTGACTGAAAAAGTTGGCGACTGCAAGCCGCTTCCCACAATACAGGTTCATAAGCAGACGGGCCCATCGAGGCTTTGTATACTCCTCCCACAGCGCATCCCAATGAGCAACGCGAACTTCCATAAACTCCCGAAAAGCGTTAGAGTCCGCTCCTCGGGTCGTCACCTCGCTCAAAGCCTCCAGGTGCTCTTTCATTCCTGAATTCCATGTAATGATTTTCTTCCTTGCATTCATTACGCCGGATCCTCGGTAGTATCTCGCTCTCGAGAACCTCAACAGACGCATGTCTTTCTGACGTGAGTTGCCGTCAGTACCATCTTCCGCGCGCTTGGGAGCAGCGATGGTTACGATATTCGTAACCCCAGGGTCCGCGCCAACGACAAAGTCGTTATCCTGCACTTTCTGTGTGGCACAATCTGCCTCCTTCTCATCTTCATGCTTCGTCACGGACACTATCGAAGACGGAACTGGACGATCCGCCTTCAAGCGCCGATAGTGAACACACATGGCTACTCCATCGGTTTCGATCACCCCTGTGAATACCTTTTGTTTGCTCACTTTCAGACTTGTGAAATCGAAGATATTCTTCCAGTACGTGTCCCGGTTTTCACCGGTACTCTCCTTCCTGCTGACATTAAACTCGGGGCTGAACTCCTTCATGATGCCGTAAAGGATTCTGGAATCGATAGTCACAAAATGTGACTCGATGTTGGACAACGGAACGACGTTGAAGCGCTTACCCAGAAGCGCAGCCTTTCGTCTCCCCCACTCTTCATTTTTTCCTCACTCAGCTTCATCTCTGCCTTGCGTTCGAGCTCACGGTCCAGAAACACAAAGTAACGCAGGACGTGGCGGTAGTATCTTTCGTTATCTTTTTTCAACTCTGATATGTTTGCTGCTCGGTTCGCCAACCCCAGTACCGCACGATGCTCTTGTATAGCCGCTCGGATGACGGAATCCTCATTCATGCTCCTGAGTGATTTCTTCTCGTCGATGAATTCAATCTCATCTTCATGCTTGCGATCGTTCGTGTTGCCATTGATAATCGCCCATATCCCCTGGCGAATGAGACCGGGTAGAGTGCAAAGATGGAGCGTATCATGAAGTTCTTGAGGTTCATTGTTAAATGGTTCTTTAGACTGGTGAGGTAGTTCATCGCTCCGTAGGTGTAAATATTCGAATCCCCCCCTGTATCGAGTACCGTCGAAGCGGAACTCGGCGTAAATTTTGTGGAGGGCATGAACTCGCTCATTTCACCTAGACGTTTCACCGGTGCCAAGCATCCGGTGATGAAAAACGGTTTTGTTGAGAAAATCTTCCAGAATATGGACTGTTTTGATGTCCGTAACGTCATGATACCATTTTCTTAGGAAATCCACCATTCCTTGAGAAGCGTCACGAACACCGCTGGAGTTCGGCTCGACACGGTTCCAGATTGCCTCTCGAACGTTTTCCCTGTACGGATCCTTGGTATGTTGAAGAAGACAGGCTTTCACCGCCATCTCGTCGTACCGTCATCTTTTGCGTAGCCTTTGACGTAGGGCCTCCCGCTTTTACTTCTTCTTCTTATCCTGTTCCTTTGCACTTGGCACTGTTCTTCATTTTTTCGGGCTGCCGGCGACATTGGCGCCCAGGATCCTCCACTTCCCCTCCCGTAACTTTCCTTTTTCAATATAAAAAACCGAAACAACTTTGGATGGTACAGCTATTACGCATAAAAAAGCACTTGAATACATTAGTGTGAAGGTTGAAACACGATTGAGGACAAACAATGGGCTTTTCTACGACTTGAAATCGTTAAAATTTGTACGATAGAGCTACATGCTTCATTTTTCCGATGGAAAAACACTTACATTGACAATGGATCCCAGATTGTGCTATAAATGGGTATCGGATTTGGCGAAAGCATCCATCATGCTGCATTCTAACTCCAGATTCCATTACGTATACTTCCTTTCAGATGTACTACTCGTCTCGTGCTTCCTGTCATTCGCCGGGTGCATGCGTTGATGCACCCGCCTTAGCGTCTAATCCGCTGATGCCGATGCATAACAGAGACAGGACAGCGTTGCCGTACTACTGAGGGCGTCGGATCGAGGAATGCTCCACCTGACACAGAGTCGGAGTATAGGATCATTCTGGGAGCCAGCAAGCTCCGCAGACAGACACACTGCCTGCGATAGCGTGAAGCTATATACCAGGACTCCACCGCGACCAGATCGACGCCCAGATGCAGTTTAACTGCCGCTAGTACCAGAATAAACAGTGCTGCAGACGAATTGCTCAGATTTCTATGCAGCACCCGCCACTGGGTGGCGAGCACGAAGCACGTGCCTGGGGTACTCGTCTGGCTCGCGGGTTTTTCCGTCGAGAAATTCAACTTTCGACAAAACGGGAACCGTGTTTCCTTTTTATCGTTTATCGTGCAGGGAAGATAAATTGGTATATCGTTGCTAGTTAATGGTTAGTCTCTGTTCTTTGCTCTGTATGCTGCGGTCGGTTAGCGCGCCGGGGAGATCAGGTCGTACGAGACAAGACGCACGTGTCGCCGTTGAAAGGAAACGCGAAATTGTGAAAATCCGTTTTCTTATTGTTCTACCGTACAAGTTGTATTTGCGTTAAAGTCGTAACAAAGTAAAGTTGTTTCATGCAATTGTGTTTCAAACCTCAAGTAAGTGTATACAAATGATGTTTGGCAATTCAGATCAGAAGCGTCGAAAGAACCTTCTTCTTCTTCAAAAATAAAAAAGGTTATGGAAAAGAAACTGGAGGATCCTGGACATCTGGTGTCGTCGACTGCCGGAGACTGACGAAAAACATGGCGGAGCTAAAAGGAACATGAGAAGACGATGGAGCAAAAGAGGAAGGCCCGAGGTCAGAAGCTGAACGAACCACGACAGTACGACAAGATGGTGGTGAAAACCTGTCTTCTCGCACATATCAAGGATCCGTCCCGGCGAAGGCTGCGAGAGGCCATCAGAAACCGTATCGAGTCATACTCCATGAGTGTTATGATGGCTTCTGCAGGTATAATGCATTTGGTGAAGGAGATGCGCGACGACGTAACGGGCATCAAAACAGTCGAGGTTCTGGAAGAATTTTTCGGCAAAACCTTTATTCGTCACCTGATGCTTGGTACAGGGGAAACGTCGAGGAGAAATGAGCGGGTGCATGCCCTCTGCCAAAAATACTCCTTCTACAGCTCCAACGGTACTCGAGACAGGGGTGACTCGCATATTTACACCGTCGGGTTATGAAGCACCTCACGAACCTGAAGAACTATTTGACCATGAGCCTGGAACGTTTCATGATACGCGCCGTCTGTACGCGCTACCCGGGCCCCTCTCGCGAAGGGATATGGACCATCATCGACGGCATCACAAACGATAGTAAGAATGAGCAGGAGATCGAATTTGTTCACGGGAAGACATCACGCAGGAGAGCAAATGAGGATTCTGGAATCCGTGCAGCTATTAAAGAGCATCGTGTGGTCTTGGGGCTGGCGAGTCCAGCAGAAAAGATATCCGAGTTGAAAAAAGATTCGGAAAGATACGATCGCCTCATCTTGCGCTATACCATATTCCTGAACCGACAACTGAAATGCAAGACCGATATGGAGCAGGGTGTTGAAGCAAATGCAGTGTCGGAGAAACGGAAAGCTGCGCTTCTGGAGAAGCGCGTCAACGTCGTTCCGTTGTGCAACATCAAGTCACATTTTGTGAGTATCGACTCCGAAATCCCTTACGGCATCATTACGGAGATCTGTCCAGTGTTCGATGTAAGCAACAAGCAGTTCACCGATGAAAACCAGGAGACGTACTGGAAGAAGAATATCTTCGATTCCAAACGTCTCAGAACGAGCAAGAAAAAGGAATTCACTGGGATGATCGAAAGTGATGCGATAGCCATGCGTGTACATTATCGGCGCTTGAAGGCGGATCGTCCAGTTCTGTCTTCGTTGCCGTCGCTGGCAAAGCGTGAAGAAAACAAAGAGGCTAGCCCAACGACGCAGGAGGTGCATGAGAACCACTTTGTCGTTGGCGCGGGCCCTGGGAACACGAATATCAGGACCATCACAACACGCAATTGCGGGGATGATGGCATCGACGACAACCTACGTCAAAAAACACATGCGTGTTTTAAAGCTTTCAAGAACGAGATATTACCGAGAATTCGGTGTGATGAATGCAAAGAAGAAAAGTGGGGCGTGGAACGCAGGATTGAAAGAGCACCTGGAAGCGATCAGCCAGGTGACGGGCCGGGGAGCGGACTTTCACGCTTTTCGGGAGTTTATGGAAGTTCGTGT